ATGTCCTTGGCCCCGGCCTTGAGGTTGGAGAGGGCGAACTCCCGCTGCTCCTGGCCCTTCCCGCCGTGCAGGGTGCAGGCGTTGTACTGGGGGGCGAGAGGGGGGGGTCAGTGAGGGCACATCGGGGGGTCCCCACGCAGGAATGGGGGGGATGGAGCTCGGGATGACCCCCCCCCCAGCCCAGACTCACCCCCATCTTCTCCAGGGACTTGGCCAGCACGTCGCAGCCCTTCTTCTGGTTGACGAAGATGATGATGGGTGGGTCGAAGCCCTGTTCCAGGATGGCCAACAGCTTCTTCCTGCACAGGAAGAGGAGGAGCAGGGGGGAGAGTTGGGTAAGGAGAAGCTGCAGCGCCCCACAGGGTGCCCCCCTCACCCTCAACCCCCTCAGACCACCCCAAAAAGCCCGTCCTGCCCACCTCTTCTCCGACTCGGACATGAGGAAGACCTTCTGCTCCACCCTCTCATGGGGTTTGCCGGCAGAGCCGATGTAAACCACGGCTGGGCGCCGGAGGTAACTGCGGGCCAGGCGCTCCACTGCCGGCGGCATCGTGGCCGTGAACATCACAGTCTGTGGGGGAACGGGGCAGGGATGTCACCCACGGGGCAGGGACGTCCCTCCCATAGAGCCAGAACCTCCCCCCTGCAAGAATGGCCCCGTGAAACAGTAATATCCTGCAGGGGACAAGAATGTCTCTCCCCGGGGCACAAACATTCCCTGTGGGGCAAAACCATCACCCCTCAAGGCAAAAACATCCTCCCATGGGGCAGGAACCCCTTCCCCCAACCTCAGAATTTCCCCTCCCCACCCCACGAACCCCCCCCAGGCCCCCTGCCCGTGCCCACCTGTCTGTACTTGTGCTTGCCCGACTCGAAGTTGGCCAACATCTTCTCGGGGTCCTCGGCCTCGTCGGTGTCGGGTTTCTGGTTGGTGACGGGCATGTGCTCCAGGATCTTCTGCACGTCGGGCTCGAAGCCCATGTCGATCATGCGGTCGGCCTCGTCCAGCACCACGTAGGTGCAGCGGCTCAGCACCAGGTACCGGTTCTCCAGCACGTCGATGAGCCGGCCCGGCGTGGCGATCACGATCTGGGGGGCCGGGGAGGGGTCAGTGGGGGCGGCCCCGGGGCCGAGCAGCCCCCCCTGAGCCCCCCAGCGCCTCCCCCAGCCCACCTCGCAGCCCATGCGCAGGCGGAAGCCCTGGTCCTCGCGGGAGATGCCGCCGATCACGGCCACCGTGCGGATGCCCAGGGGCTTCCCGAATTTGATGGTCTCCTCCTCGATCTGCTGGGCCAGCTCGCGGGTGGGGGCCAGGATGATGGCGTAGGGCCCCTGGTCCGACTCCTCGATGCTGCAGTGTGGGGGGACACAGGACAGATGTGTCACCCACGGTGACACCACGTGAGCCTGTCCTGTTCCCTGCACAGTCAGTCACTCTTCCATTCCACCCCATCCCCTTCACAGCGTCACACCATCACCCCATCTCATCCCCCATCCCCTCCAGCGTTACCCTGTCACTCTAACCCTTCCATACTGTCATCCTGTCACCCTGTCCCACCCATCTGCACTGTCACCATCACCCTACCCTGTCTCCCCCTCCCATGGGCAGTATCCCCCTGCCCCGTGCCCTCACCGGTCGATTTTGGGCAGGGTGGTGATCCACACGAGCAGTGGGATCAGGAATGCCGCCGTCTTGCCGCTGCCGGTCTCGGCCACGCCGATGATGTCCCGGTTCTGCAGCCCGATGGGGATGGCCTGGCGCTGGATCGGGGTCGGCTCCTGCCAGGGGACGGCAGGTTGGGAGCAGAACTCTCCCTCCTCCCCCTCCCCACATCCCTGACGACCCCTTTTCCCCACTCCCAGCCCCCTCCAGGGGCGCCCCCTCCCCATGCCCACCTTGTATCCGCACTTGTCGATGACCTCCAGGATGTGGGGGGGCAGGGAGGAGTCCTTCCAGGAGCGGATGGGGTTGGGGATCTTGCCCCCCTTGGTGGTGATGCTGTAATCCTCGCGGAAGATGCGCCAGTCCCTGTCCGTCATCTCGTCCAGCTTCTTCTGGGACCAGTGGCGGTCGTCCCAGCGCTGCTTGGCCTCCTTCTTCCTCAGCTTCCGCAGCCGGGCCCTGGCCAGCGGCAGGAAGGGATGGGGAGATGGGAAGGGGGACGAGGAACCGGGATGGGGCTCACCCTGTGCCCCTGGAATCCTCCCACCCCCTCCCACAGGACCTGGCGCGTCCCAGCGCTGCCCGCAGCTCCCCACTCCAGCCAAGCTGAGCCATTCAGGACCCTTCACACCCCTCAGCACCCTCCCAGCTCCCCCCCACACAAAATCCTCACTCCTCCTGCTCCTTCTCCTCCAGGGTCCTCCTCTTCTCCATCAGGTCCCCGTAGAACCGCGACTGCTCCCTCTTCTGCTGCTTCAGGTCGATGCCCGCGATGAAGCCGCGGCCCAGCAGCTGCACCTGGTGCCTCTCCTTGTACCTGGAGCAGGGCGGGAGCATCAGGGGCTGCCCTGCACCCCCCTCAGGGGCACCCCCAGCCCCGGGGAACTCCCCCTCCGCACTCACAGGGGGTTGTAGTCGATGGAGGTGTCCTCGGACGCGTCCCACTCGAACACGAACTTGCGGTCGTTGAGGTGCCGCGTGCGCCGGCGCTTCTTCACCCCGCCCAGGTACCGCTCCTGCGGGACCCCAGGGTCAGCGGGACCCTCCCAGACACACCCCCCCGGCCCCCCAGCCCGGCCCACAGCCCCCACCTTGATGGCGTGGAGCTCCTTGCTCTTGTCCTTCTCCTCCCGGATCTTCTGCCTGCCCTCCTCGTCCTCGGTGCCGTTGGTCTCCCGCTCCATGCGCTCCCGGCGCTCCCGGCGCTCGCGCTCCTGGGGGTCTTCTGGGGAGCAGGGGAAGGGGCTCAGAGCCGGCACAGAGCCCCGAGAGCTGGGGGGGGAAGAGAGCTCCAGGGGGTGACCCCTTACCCAGCATCTTCCTCCCCATCTCCTGGAACTGTTTCCTCTTCTTCCTCTCCTCCTCCAGCAGCCGCTGCCGCTCCTCCACCTCCTGCTGCCGCCGCCGCAGGGCCTCGGCCTCCCGCTCCGCCTTGGACAGGAACTTGGGCTGGGGAGGGACAGTAAGGGTCATATCGGGCCTGGCTGCGACCCCCGAGCTGCTGGGGGTCCTTCCCGACCTCTCCACTTTCCCCCAGCATAAGGAGGAGGCTCCTCTTCCCGCTCCCACCTTGGCTTCTGCCTCCTCTTCTGCTTTTTTCTTCGCCAGCAGCTCCTCCAAGGACAGGGGCTGTGCCTGGAAATGGAGCTGGATGTCAGCACCACCCCCAGGGACCTGGATCCGCCTGGAGCCATTCCCAGCCGAGCCCCTTCCTCACCTTCTCCTTCTTCAGGGCATTCTCCTCCTCCTCCTCTGCCTTCCGTGCATCCCGGTCCTTCCGGGACTTGGAGTCCTTCCCCCTGCCCGGGGACAAACTTCCCGGGAAAACAGCACAGAATCAGGCACCAGACACATCCCCAAGGGATCCCCATCTCTGGAGGACTTAGGGGAGAGCAGAGACCCCCCCAAAAACCCACCTGGATCTCTTCCTGTCCTTGTCCCGCCGGTGCCCATCCTTGTCCCGGTCCCGCTCCTTCTTGCCCCGGTCACGGTCCCGCTCCTTGTGCCGCCGATCCCTGAGAGATGGGGAGGGGTCACAGCGCGGTCCTGCCCTCCCCTCACCCCGCTGGGGTCGTCAAAGCTCCTCCCTAAAACCCCAGGGAGCAGCGAGCCCCCCTCACCTCTCCGTGGACTTGGAGCGGGACCGGGAGCGGAGCGGCTCCGTCGCCGGTCCCGGGATCGGTGTCGCTTCCTGTCCTTGGCCGGGGAGCCCTTGCGGTCCCGGTCGCGCTCCCGGTCCCGGTCCCGTTCGCGGTCTGGGGAGCGGGAGCGTTTCCTTTCCTCCTTCACCGGGGACGCGTCCCGGTCCTTCTTGTCCGTCAGTTCTCCGGCCATCTGCGGGGAGGGGTCAGCGGGGGGGACACCGGGGGAGAAGCCCCCAGAGGGATGGGGGGCACCCGGCGCTCCAGGCCCCGCCCGCGGTGCCCGGTACCGGGGCTCAGCCTGGTGTGGCGGTAGCGGGTCCTGCAGCCCCCGGGTGCCGCGGGGGTCCCTCGGGGTGGTGCCCGGTCCCCTCCCGGCCGTGCCCGGTCCCCGCTCACCGTGCCAGCCCGGGCTCAGCGCCGCCGCTCCGCCACCGCCGCCGCCATGTCCGCCGGGGCCGCGGGGCACGCCGGGACGGCGCGGGGACTACAACTCCCGGCAGCCTCTGCGCGGGAGGCGAACCACAACTCCCGGCGGCCTCCGCGTGTCGAAGCACCGCCGCCGAGCCCCGCGATCCTTCCGCCACCCCCGCCTTCGGGAACGAGTCCCCCGGGGTCAGCGTCCCCAGGGCCCTGCAGCCCCCAAACTGCCCCGAAACCCCTGGCTCGGTGTATCTGCGGTCCCTGAATACCAAATGAGCCCCCCCCCCAAACCCTGGGGGGACCACCCCCATAGGGTCAGTGTCACTGTGTACCCCAAAACCCTACAGGGCCCCCCCCCTCCTCTCCGGTCGGTGACCCTATGTACCCCAAATCCCCTGAGATGGCTCCAGGACAGTAATCCCGCATCCCTGGGACCCCCAAGACCCCAGGGACCCCCCAGGTTGGTGTCCCAATGTCCCTGAATACCCCAAAACCCCACAAGGACCCCCATGATCAGCATCCCTGCAGGATGGGGGAAATCCCCATTCCTAACCTGGAATGCCCAGGCAGAGTCTGGCAGGGGCCACTTTGGGGTACCCAGGGATCCCTCACTGCCCCACCTCAGTGTCCCCATCCCCAGTGACCCCCAAAAACACCTCCCCAAAACGAAGCACCCCCCAAAAGAACTCCAGGCCACAGGCAGGGCTGCACGTAGGTGGATCTTATATTTCTGATAATAAATAAGCTTTTTAAGAACACTGACATGGAACAGAGACACCCCCCCACCCCAGACAGTCCATAAAATAGCCCCCCCCATTGCCCCCCAACCCGCTGGGGTCCCCCCAGGGCCAAGCAGTGGATGAGGGGTGGGGGGAAACAGGATGAGTCCATGGATGAGCCCCATGATGTGCCCCCCAAATCCCACAGGGATGTCCCAGGACTGTGTCCCCATGTGCCTGTGCACCCCAAACCCCACAGGGACCCCCCCTGGGTCAGTGTCCCCAGGGTCCTGTGCACCCCAAACCCCACAGGGATCCCCCCAGGTTGGGGACCAGGTGCTGAGCACCCCCCAGACCCCCCTCCCCATGGGGACAGCCCCCCAGGCCGGGGGCTGGCAGGGCAATGGTGTGATGGGGGGGCAGCAGCACCCCCTCCTCCTCGGGTGGGGGGTGGGTCCAGGGCCCTGTCCAGCCCCCCCATCCCACCCTGGGGACTCGGGAGGGGGCTGGAAGTTGGGGAGGGTCGTCCCTGTCCCCCCCTTCACATGACAGAGCAGCTTTTTGCCTTTTCCTTCTTGAAGGTGTTGGAGATGAGCTCGGAGCGGCTGGGCAGGTGCAGGAGTCTCTTGGAGAGGCTGCGGGGGGGGCTCTGGGGGGGCTGCTGGGGGGCTCTGCTGAGGCAGAGGCCGGACACGGTCCGGAAGATGCTGTGGACGCTCTTCTCCGAGGTGAAGGCCGAGCACTCCAGGTAGCCCTCGGCTCCCAACTGCCTGGCCATGGCACAGCCCTGCGGCCCAGCCCCGGTCAGACCACCGGCACCGCCCCAGCCCACCCCTCCCGGCCCCCCTGGGCTCCCCCCGGACCTGCTCGTAGGAGATAGGGGCCTGTTTCTGGTGCGAGAGCTCCAGGAGGGTGCTCAGGTCCGTCCTCAGGTCCGTCTTGCAGCCGATGAGCAGCACCCGCGTGTTGGGGCAATAATCCAGGATTTCTGTCTTCCACTGCGGGGTGGGAGCCACTGTCAGGGACGGGGGACCCCAAAACCCTCCACCCCCAGGTCAGTGCACCCCAAACCCCACAAGGATCTCCCTGGGTTGGTGTTCCCCAGAGTCTTGTGCACCCCAAGCCCCCCCAGGGTCATTAACCCTGCATCCCTGAGCCCCCCAAACCCCAGAGGGACTCTCTAGGCCAGTGTCCCTGCCCATCCCAAAGCCCTCAGGGAGCCCCTTGGGTCAATGCCTCCACATCCCTGAGTTCCCCAAGCCCCCCAGGGACACCCTGGCTCGGTGTCCCCACATCCCTGAGCCCCCCAGGCCCCACAGGGACCCTGTCCCACCTTCTTGGCGGCGCTGTCGAGGGTCTCGGGGCGGCTGATGTCGAAGCAGAGCAGGACAGCGTCCGAGTCGCTGTAGCACAGGGGCCTCACGTTGTCATAGTAGGGGGAGCCTGGGGGGCATGGGGGGTCACTCTCGACCCCCTGGAGGGACCCAGGGACCCGGGCAGGGGGTGCTGGCAAAGGGACACGGCCTCGTTCCTGCCCCGGGGTGGGGGCTCAGAGCTCCAGAGCCCCCCCAAAGGAACAAATCCCCCTCCTGGCTGGGAGGGGGCTCACAGCTCTAGAGCCCCTCCCCCCCAAAAAAAACCCCCAAAACAGACCCCCAAGACACACACACAGAGCCCCTTCCCGCCTGGGGTGGGGGGCTCATCTCTAGAGACCCCCCCAGAGTACACACGGCCCCCCTCCTGCCTGGGGTGGGGGGCACAGCTCCGGAGCCCCCCCAGGAGCGCCACCCCCGTCCCCGCAGCCCGTCAAACGCACCGCGCCTTAGCGAGGCAGCGGCAAATGGAGCCCGCGGTGTTTATGTAACAGCCCCCCGCCCGTTTCGGGGAGTCCCGCCAGCACCGAGGGGTGTCTGGGGGGATGGGGGCAGCCAGGAGGGGGGTGGTGGGGGTGCCACCCCCGCGGGGTCCCCGGGGACACGGAGCCACCGGCATCGCACCGGGAACTGCGGGGGACGCGGCGCGGGGGTGCCCGTGGGGTGCGGGGGGTGCCCCCGCTCCCCTTTGCCCCCCGAAAGGCCTCGGAGGGGGTTTCGCAGCCCAGACGCTCCGTGCACGGAATAGCAAAGAGGCTGCGCCAGCGCATCGCCATGGCAACCGGGGACCGGCGGGGACCCCCCCGCCGGGGGGGACACTGCAGCACCGGGCAGGGCTGCCCCGACCCCCCTCGACCCCTCCTGGACCCCCCAGCCATTCAGGGTACCCCGGGAGGGGCAGCACCGGAATCGCCCAGAATCCCCCCCCAGGCGCGGGGGACACCCTGAGCTCCCTCTGGGGGGCTCAGCCAGGGTGGGGGTCCCCCCCAGGGAAGGGGTTGAGCCCCGTGTGACCCCCTCCCGTCTGCGTCTGTGCTCCCACCACGGGGTCGGTTCCCGGGGGCTCCCTGTGCCCCCCGGACTCAGGGATGCGACCGCAGACCTGAAGCCCCCCCAGGGGTCCCCACTGCGGCCACCCAGCCCTCCCTTGCTGGGACCCCAGAACACGGCAGGGACAGCACTGGGGCCACTAGGCCCCCCCTTCAGGGACTCCAAAACACCTCGGGGACCCCAAAAAACATCCCGAGGACGCCACTGCGGCCACCAACCCCCCCCACTGCAGGGACCCCAAAACACCCCCGGGACCCCAATACACTCCGCTGTAGGGACACCTCCACTGCAGCCCCACCAAAACCCCAGTCCTACAACCCCCGGAGCCCTCAGACCACCAAATACCTCCATCACCCCCACCGGGGCCGGGGCTGCACCCCCGGTACCGGAGCCCCCCGTGTAAGCACCGCGTGTCCCCCCCTCCCCCGGTACCGGAGGTGTCCCAGAGGCTCAGCTCCACCCGCTGCTCCTCGTTGGCCAGACACGCCGTGTAGTTCTCAAACACGGTGGGCACGTACGTCTGCAACGGCACCGGCACCGTCAGCGCCCGCTCCGGTCCCGCCGCCCGGTGCGCGGTGCCGGCCGCCGGTGGCCGCCCCGGCTCACCTCGGGGTAGCAGTCCTTGGCCAGCACCTGCAGCATGGCCGTTTTGCCGCACTGCACGTCGCCCACCAGCACCAGCTTGCAGCGGGCCGGGGCGGCCGGTACCGGCCTCCGCTCCCGCATGGCGGCGGCACCGCGCGCGCGAAACTCCCCCACCGCTGCCGCCCGCCCACCGCCCTGCGCGCCGCCGCCGCAGACACCTCATATACCCCCTCGCCGCCGGGCCCCGCCCACGGCGGCGCCCGCCCGCCAATCACCGCGGGGGCTCCCGGAGCGCCGGCCAATGGCGGAGAGGCGGCACCGGCGGGAGCCGCTCCCGTCCGCCAGGGGGCGACGGCGCGCGCGGGGGCGGAAGTTGGGGCGCCGGGAGCGGAAGTGGCCGTTGCTTGGAGACCGGTGGGACGCGGGAGCGGGGCCGGTACCGGGCGGGGGGGACGATCCTAAAAAAAGGGGGGAGATGGAGGGTCCTGGAGGGGGAGATGGGGGTGGGGAGAGGGCGATAGGGGCTGAGGGGCTCTGGAGGGGGAGATGGAGGTGAGCAGAGGGAAACAGGGCTGAGGGAGGCCCTGGAGGGAGGCCCTGGAGGGGCCACCACTGGGCCTCCCCTTCCCCGGGCGTCCCCCCACCCTTCCCACCGTGTCCCAGCTCCAGCCATGGCGGGGGCCCGTCCCGGCGCCCCCGGGGCGGCCGAGGCTGAGCTGCTGCTGCTGCAGAGCCAAGCGCTGGCCGAGGAGGAGGCGGCCAAGGCCAGGAGGGAGCTACTCAGCCGCTTCCTGCAGGTCCGGGACCCCACTGCAGCGACCCCCCCAAGCTGCAACCCCCCCACCCCAAACCTACAGGATCCTCCAGGGCTCCCCCACCTTTCCCCCAGCTCAACCCCATCTCTCTCCCCAGGCCCCCATTACCCTTTGCCTCTCCCATCTCCCCTTCAGAGCTCCCCTCAGCCCATTTCCCCCCACTCACCCCCATCCCCAGACCTGCCACGTCCCCCTCCCCAAGCCCCTAAAGCACCTTCCCCCAGCCAATAACCCCATCACCCCCCCGGATACCAGAGCCCCCCCTCAGGGTGGGCAGCCCCCCCGGCCGGCCCTGCAGCCCCTCCCCGGCCCCCCCCTGCAGGAGAAGCTGTCCCGGGAGCAGCAGCTCAGCGCGGGGGGGCTCCACAAGCTGCGGACGCTCTGGCGCTCGGCGCTGCGGGAGGCCAAGGACCGGGAGCTGCGGGCGGACATCGAGAGCCTCAGCCAGAGCTTCTCGCGGGCCCTGGACTGCAAGGACGGCGTCATCGAGGTGGGCACAGGGCCGGTGGTGCTGGAGGGGCTGTGGGAGACACCTGTGACCCCTCCCTGAACTCCACAGGCGCTGCTCAGGGAGCTGGAGGAGGCGGAGGAGCAGCAGAACCGAGCCCTGCGCAGCCACCTGAGCCTGACGGACCAGCTGCTGCAGCTCCAGCGCTGCCGCCTGGGCTACCTGGAGGAGGGCTTTGCTGCCCAGGTGGGCGCCCTGAAGGCAGAGTTTGAGGCTGAGAGGTGCGGGAGTTTCGGGGGGGAGGAGGGGGCTAGGGCAGCAGTGGTGTCCCCGTGGTGGGGCTGGGCAGCGTTTCCCCCTGTGCCCCCCGTGTGTCCCCGCAGGAGGATCATCCTGAAGCAGCAGGAGTGGGAGAGCTGGTGTCTGGAGGACATGGCACGGGCCACGGAGCAGGACAACGCCCGGACCGACCACGAGGCCACGCTGGACTTCCAGAGCGCCCGGGACGACATCAAAAGCAAGGCAGGGGCGGGAGGGAGCGGCCAGGGGGCTTTAGGGCTGGAGAGGGAGGCCTGGGGGCGGTGGGTCATCCCCTGTGTGTCCCCAGAGCTGGCAGGAGCAGCAGTACAGCCGCCTGCAGCTGGTGGGGAGGCTGGAGGGGCTGTGGAAGCAGATCCAGAGGGCCCGGCAGAGCTACAACGAGGCCACGGAGCACAAGATGGCCGAGTTCAAGGAGCTGCTGAGGAAGTGCGAGAGGAGCACCCGGGAGATCGAGGCGCAGTCACAGAAGCTGCAGAAGCTCCAGGTTCTGGCAGGGAGCTGGGTGGCTGTGGGAGCAGGGACACCTCTGCCCGCTGCTCGCTTCCCGTGGAAGCACGGAATTGTTGAGGCTGGAAAAGCCTCTGAGACCACCGAGTCCAACCGTCAACCCAACACCGCCAAGGCCGCCACTAAACCACGTCCCCAAGTGCCCCATCCACCCGTGATTTGAACACTCCCAGGGGTCAGTGCCCTGACCAGCCCATTCCAGTGCCCCACCAGCCTTCCCACGAGGGAATCTTCCCCAGCATCCAACCCTCCTGTTCCGCCAGGACACGGTGGCGGCCACCAGGGCCCAGATAGCGGCTCACGCCCGGGAGAACGAGGAGCAGATCCAGCGGGCGCGGGAGGGGAAGGAGGAGGCGCTGCAGCGGCTCCAGGAGCTGCGCCGGGAGGTGACCCGGGCGATGACCGCGGCTCGCGCCGACCTCACCACGCTCAGCTGCCAGAGCGGGGCCGCCCTCAAGGCGCTGCTGCGCGTGGTGGAGAAGGTGAGCCCGGCGGTGCCGAGGGGATAAGGGGGTTCCCCCTGGTGTCCTAGTGTCCCCTCTCACCTGCCCTTCCCTGTGTCCCACCCCCAGGCCCAGCGCCTCCTGCGCCTGGCCGAGATGTGCCGCAGGCTGGAGACGGAGGAGGAGAAGGTGCTGCCCTTCTACCCCTCCTCGCTGACTGAGGGGGAGCTGCGGGAAGCCCGCAGAGTCCTGGAGGAGACCCCCGTGGAGCCCCTGGCACAGGTGAGGAGGCCCTGCCCGAGGGTCCTGGGTGTGCCCACAGGGAACAAGGGTCGGGATCCGGCCCTGAGGACCCCCCAACCCTGATCCCTGCCTCCCCCCAGGCCATGCAGGACTACGTGGGGCTGGAGCGCTTCTGGCAGCGGTTCAACAAGGCCAAGCTGGAGGAGAAGGTGCTGGAGCAGGCGCGGGCGGCCCTGGCCAAGAGGAACCAGCACCTGCGGGAGCTGCTCCAGCAGTACCTGGCGGGGGTCACTGTCAGCCGGAAGGTGTTCAAAGACCTCGAGCCCCTCCTCGCCACCAAGCAAGAGCCACGTCCCCAGAAATGAGCCCCGAGCTGGGGCAGGGCCGCGCTCAGGGACATCACGACATGGTGCACCCTGAGAGCCTCCGGGGGGGGTCACCCTCCCCAGACCCTGTCCCCAGCTCTGCCAGCTCCAGCTGAGACACCCATGGGCAAACCAGGGACCTGCCTGGTGCCTGGGGACACCAGGGACTGTCACTGCCTGGAGATGCCATAAAAGAGCAAAACTGCCCAAAAAAGCGCTCCAGGGTCTTATTTCTGGGATTCACTGAGCGGGCGAAGCTCTGTCACCCTCTGCTCAGGTCTGACGTGACCCACCAAGGCCCTGGAGCAGGCAGGGTGCTCGAGGGGTGAACAGCCCCTTCCCACTACTCCATCCCCACCACCGTCCTGGTCAGAGCAGCCACAGATGCCGAAGGGAAGGTTTTATTTCTTTTTGGCTTTGTTCCTCTTCTCCTCCTTCAGCTTTTTCTTGGAGAGCTTGGGGCTGCTGGCCTTGCGGTACAGGTGGAACCCGATGAGCCCCAGCAGGGCCGGCACCAGCCCCAGGCACAGCAGCGGCACCACCTCGTTCACCACCTTCTGCCAGTAACTGGCCCGGGACAGCCCCACCAGCTCCACCTCAAACCGCAGCACGGCGTCACCTGCCAGGGGGGCACAGCCTGAGCGGGGGCCACAGCGGCCTGGGGGGGACACCACAGGGACCCCGAGGGCTGCACTCACCTGGGATGGTGGGGGGAGAGCCCCGCTTGCCGTAGGCCAGGTGAGGGGGGATGATGGCTCTGCGCTTCTCCCTGCCACGGGAACACCGTCGGTGCCACGTGGTGGGGACACAGCATGGGGACACTGCCCACCCCCGTGCCCCCCATCCCCACTTACCCCACACACATGTCCATCAGACTCTGCTCCAGGCCTGCAGGAGAGCGGGGAGAGGGGTGAGCAGGGCTGGCCGGCGGCACCCTGGGTACCTCCCACCCCCGTCCCCCCCTTGGCCCCCCACTCACCGGGGATGACTTGGCGCTTGCCCAGCTCCACCTGGAGCGGGTCCCGGCTCAGGGAGGAGTCGATGATCCGCCCATCCTCCAGGGTGCCCTGCGGGACACACGGGTACGGTCACAGCCGTGGTCCCCCTGGGGATGCAGCCCTGGTGCTTTCTCCACGTGGGTCCTAGTATCATCCCACTCCTGCTCTGGTGCTGATCCCAGTGCCCGCCTTGTGCCACCCCTGGGCTGATCTCAATCCTGGTGTCCCCCACTGTGCCACCCCCCTGCCATCCTGGGGACATCCCCACCACTTGCAGTGTCAAGGCCATTGTGAGGGCAATCCTTGGGCAGATCCCAGTGCCAACCATGCCCATACTCGGGTTCTCCCGTGGCAGCCCCAGTGCCACCCCTGTGCCAGTCCAGGTGCCACCCAGAGCCCATCCTGGGGCTGTCCCCATCCCAGTTCCAGTGCCACCCTGGCGTCGCCCCCACGCCCACCCTAATGCCGTCCCCATGCCCACTCCGGTGCCACCCCTACACTCACTCCGGTACCACCACGTTGCCACCCCAGTGTCCATCCTGGTACCACCCCCGGTACCGCCCCGGTGCCGGCCGAGACTCCCCCGGTGCCGGTGCCCCCCGCCCCGCCCGCGGGAGCGCAGTGCTGACGTGTTCCTCCCGCCGCCCGCCCGCACCGTGTAGTGGATGTGCACCGTGTCCCCCGGCGCCGACAGCTCCGTGCAGCCTTCGGGGGGGGCCACCTGCAACGGGGGGTCACTGGGAGCCGGGACGGGGCCCCCCCGCCTCGGGGTCCCCGCACTCCCCGTGCCCATGTGTCCCCCGAGCGCTCCGCGAACCGGACTCCCCCCCCGGATCCCCCGTCCTCCCGGTGCGCCGTGTTCCTCCCCGCAGCCCGGTCCTCCCCGTGCCCCCCTGCGCGCCCCCATCCCGCAGCCCGGTCCTCCCGGTACGCTGTGTCCCCTCCCTCCCCGTGCCCAGGCCGGGCTCTCCGGTGCGCCCTGCCGGTGCCCCGTCCCCCCGGTGCCTCCGTCCCCTCCGGTGCCTCCGCCACCCGCCAGTGTCCC